TTGTGGGGGGGGGGGGGGGGTTGCCAAAGGACGGGATTGAGGGTGGTGGAAGTTTAGCATGAATTGTGTGGAATATGTTTAGATTTAGCATATACAGCATTATAATTACAGCATAAGCTACAGATTGTTTTTACATTACGCAAGCATGTTATGTGTTACCCACTGGAGTTGTAAAGTCCCAGCATATCCTCTCCTGTTATAACATCAGCATTGTAATAGGAATACATACTCGATATGTTTCTGATAATACAATCAAAGCTTACTTGAAAAAATCCCTTTTATGTAGTGAGCGCTGCCTTCCATCTGCCCATCACTTCCAACAACTTCCTGGATTCCCAGTGTGCTTTGTGTCACTTTCCCTGCTGCTTGATGCGATGCAATCTCCATTTCTCAAGACTGCATATCCCATTATGCATTGCTTTCAGTAAGCAGTAATAATGTTACATTGTTCAGATGTTGAGTTGTAGTTCAGAAAGCAGACTCTGCGAGAGTCATGACACAAGGAAATGCATATTCAGAGGGCTAAGTGAAATGGTGTCAGTGCGTTGAGGAAGTCCATCCTATGGGCAGCTTCAATAAGCAAGTTTACAGACATCTAGAGCAATATAGTGATTAAGAGTGAGATAGAACTTATGGAAATTCGATATAGAATTACGTATGTATTTCTAGTTTCTGACCATAGATACTCTAGTCTAACTAATATAATATTGTATAGTTCCCCACATCCTATCCTTCTGCATATGGCATGCAATTAACAGCAACATATCTCATATATTGTACACAGTGGCATCACAGGGGGGGTGTGGCCATTGGAGGGGTGACATCAAAATGACTGACAGTCATTTTGGTGTCACCCCCTCTAAAAAGTCGGGCACTCGGTCATGGACCAAGAGCACGACAGAGTCAGGAGAGAGGAGGGGACCGGGCGGCATACCTCATCCCGCCGGGTGAACGTCCCCTCCTTTCTCTGCGGGCGTCCATCACCAAGATGGCCACTGGCAGGCATCAATTAGACAGCCGTGCGTACAATGACATCACGGCGGGGTGTAACCCGCTCTCCGCTCCGGTGACACCCGGCCTCGGGACGCCCCTGATTGTACATCTAGCAGCAACTCATTCATTTCTAGCGTTTGATTGTAGATACCTTTTAAATATTCTCTGGGGTAAAGGGGATATTAGTACCCGTATAAAATAAAGAAAAAGGATTGAACATTAATAAGAAAAAAAACATATTTGCATATTATAGAACGTGAACCGCTTCCTCTTGCCATTTGCACAATATTCTTAGAGTAGCATCGCTGTCAATGGAAAGGTCACCTATCTGAATTAGTGATAATTGTGTTTAATGGTAAATTGCTCAAAACCCCTTTTCCTCGAATAACATGTTTCAGTCAACTGCCAACTTTCAAAAAAAAAATATATCCGCAAATCAATAAAGAGCAAAAAGTCCCCAAACTTTAAAAATCAATGACGGACCATTAAGATTTTTTTTAACATCATGTAAAGTGTACGCAGTAATGAAAAGGCTTTCGTGCTTCTTTTCAATCCATTTCGCCTTGTCAGCCTCAAGAGCTTAGTCTTAAAATAGCCCACCGGCTAAATTATATTCAATGCAGTTACACAAGAGGCCGTCATGCTTTTATTTGCCATGTGCAGCGGTAACATGTACATACATATAAGCGTTTATTACTGAGCACAGCAATTTTTGGCTCAATTGATTTAGCTGCAAAATTCATTATTTCACCTTTGATGGCATTTCGCCAAAGCAGACACACATTTTGCAGGTGGGGTACGTAGGTGACATTTATTTTAAAAAGTTTTACTTTTTTTTTTTAGGTTTTTGGAAGATTGTATTTAGGTTTTAGTTTATTTTATTTATTGTTCTTTCTATTTGTGATTTATTTTTCCTTTTTGGTGCGTATTTGATTTGTTGGTTTACATTTTTTTTTTTATGGTGTCTGTGTTTTCTTTTTGAAAAAAAAGAAATACATCATGCAACTAATGATGGACTGATTTCTGGTACAAGAACAGGTCCAGGAAAGTTGCAAAGAAGCTTTTATAAACCTTAACAATTACACCTTTTGCTCCCTTTTGGACTGTTAAATAAACTGCCTGGCCCAAAAAAAGTCACCACCTGGACATAGCTAAGAAAATAGGTAAAAAACTTGCATTAGTGTTATGATCTGGGGCTGCTTCAGTTGGTCAGGTTCAGCAACGTTATGGGCCCAAAAAATCAAGCCAGCTGCCTCCCTGAATATACCAAATGATCAGGTTTTTCCATCAATGGAATTTTTCTTCCTTAATGGCACATTGGGCATATTCCAAGATGACAATGTCAGGATTCATCGGGCTCAGATTATGAAAGAGTGTTTCAGGGAGCATGAGACCTCATTGTCACACATGGATTGGCCACCACAGAGTCCAGACCTTAACCCCATTGAGAATCTTTGGGATGTGATGGAGAAGACCTTACGCAGCGCATACTAGAAAACATCTTCTACCTGTGCTATGGAAAAGTGGAAAGTGAGAGGTGTTCTGTAGTCCCGTGTTAGGTTGGCAATGCCACCGTCCCATAGATACATTACAGCAAGTGAATGTTCTCATTCTAACCCAGAAAGAGTGTTATTGGCAGGATCACCAGGTAAAAACAAAGGGAAAAATTCTGAAAAAGAAAAGTAATGCAGGTACTAAATCTGAGGACTGGTAAGCTGAATTATATTACATTTTTGAAATTGGGTTTAGGTACAATTTAAAGTCCACTGCACCTGTAAAAAAAAAAACACCCTGAACCACCTTACGTTGGCCTTTTCCACTGACTCCAATGCATTTTGACCAAAAAAATTTCAATGGAATTAAAACTCCCAATTTGCTGTAAAGCTTAAAGGAGAACTATTGGGTCAGGGCTTTTCCCCATAGTTCTCCTAAGGGTCACGGGAGGACACAAACTAGTGTCCTTCCGTCACTCAAAGCTCAGTATACCGCGAGCTGTAGCTCACGGTACACTGGGCCTAGGGTGACGGGAGGACGCTAGTTTGTCCTCCTGTTGTGTCCTCCCGTTAAGTAACGGGAGGACACAAACTAGCGTCCTCCCGTCACCCTAGGCTCAGTGTACCGTGAGCTACAGCTCGCGGTATACTGAGACGCCGCAGCCGGGACGGATTCCGACATTACTGTCTGGAGCCAGCTGTACCCGCCCCCCCCCTGTCGGTTCCGCCAGTCAGCGCTGTAGGATCGGACAGGGGAGGGGGGGAATCCCTGCAGGGAGCCATGATTGACAGTCACGGCTCTCTGCACGGATAGATCAAGAAGTGAGCGAGCGCCGGTATGTGTTCGCTCACTTCCCGATCTATTGAGCCGACCTGTGACAGTTTAATTGTCACAGGTCGGCTAGAACTATGAGGTTGAATGATTTTCACTCGCCTCATAATTCTCCTTTAAAATTTTTACTCAAAGCCAGGTTTTCATTGTTGGGTGACAGTGTCCATTACACTGTACATAAAACAGTTCTAATATGTTCTCTTTTTCTATCCAAGGTACAAGGAGCACTCAAGAGGCAGTGGATGCAATATAAAACTCAATGGGGACAAAGACGTCGAGAACATTGTTCTATGCGTTCCACTTCCTATACCGCAACGTCTATAACAGAAGTTCCCATTTACTTGTACCCCCATGACTCCAACAGTGAACAATTAAATGGGAGATACGGAAATGACTCTGAAATCACTGCACTTAACTCTGGGGATACGTACGCTTGAACTGAATTGACACAAATAGACGTTCCTCTAAAACCTTGAGATCTGCTCCTCAATGGAATAAAAGCCTTTACATAAGTTTCAATAAGGTGACTTCTTTCTGGGGTCAGCTACTCCCAAGCACCCTGTAGAGCTCGGCTCTGAAGGAGTTCAGCTGTTGATTGACCAGATTGACCTGATGTTTCTCAGTAAATCCAGGAAACAATCCAGAGAAAAGTTCTTTAAAACAGTCAAACACAAAATGACCTTCAAAGAGACAATTAACTGAAGTAGATAGTTCTTCTGAAGTAAAACTCACGGACAGGGAAATGGAATAACTGTGCTGCTCACAGCAAACCTTATTGCTATCAAAAGACTTTTGACTTAGGGCGTATCACGTGCTGATTTATGACACAAGGCCATCCGTTATGTCTATTGCCACTGTAGATGAGAACATACACCCATTCCATTGTTAAAAACGTTGAGAGCACAATTGTGGAATGGAAGGCAGTGGTGCTAGGCTGTGCCAATGTTCCCTTTAAAGTTAATTTCCACCTTTTGGCCAATCTGTAGGGCTGGGCAGAAAAAAAAGTGCAACTAGTGTTTATGAAAACTGTTTTGTACCCATTTACAGGCCTTTAACATACCCAGTGTGGCCAGGAGGAATTTTTTATAACATCTCATTGACTTGGTTCACAATACACAAAATGCCACGTCTTGGTTGAATATGTAAAATGGAAGGCTTGTATGTTGCGCTCGGTTCAAAATCTATTTGGTTTGTCCGTGATATATCATCAAAACAATAGTTTATATAAATCGATGTGGTGAAAGGTGATAATACAATTAAATGAACACAATCTATATAAAAAAAACAACTAATGTGTATATACTAAATGTGGATGTGTGATCACAAATGCTAATAAATAAAGTATGTGATGTTAAGGATTTATTCATCTTTCACCTTGAGTGGCTCCGCTCCACTACTGCAGATTGCTTGTATATGATTACATCTTTCAAATATGATGGACAACTTGTAGTTCCGCTCTAGATCACCATCTCACTGTTTTATTGTCTGGCACAATAATTCATAGGTAGATTTCACTTAGACGGCAGTCCACAATCCATTTTTTTGCACCAATTTCACTGTGCGCCTTTGGGTTCACAGTTTGTACTAGACACGGCTATTTAGCACTTTTTGATACTTTTCAAGTCACTTCCGCTTAAAAGCCATCACTCAGTTTTTTCACATACTTTATTTATTAGCATTTGTGATCACACATCCACATTTAGTATATACACATTAGTTTTTTTTTATATAGATTGTGTTCATTTAATTGTATTATCACCTTTCACCACATCGATTTATATAAACTATTGTTTTGATGATATATCACGGACAAACCAAATAGATTTTGAACCGAGCGCAACATACAAGCCTTCCATTTTACATCTATACATACATTGTTGCGGCTGGTGCCGACATACCTACTTCCAGCGCAAACTATTTTGTTTAATATATTTGGTTGAATATGTGCTTACCTCATCACAACCACCTGTCAATACGCAAAACTTTAACATTTGTCTTTGGACACAACAGATACTTAAACGACAAGTTCACTTCTGAAAAAAAAACCACCAGCCCACTACTCCCTCCTACTAATCTGAACTAGAAATGCCCCACCCAGGTACTTACTTACCTTTCTTTGATGGTGGCGGCTTCTGGTGTTTGAATCTTTCTTCTGGTGCTGTCCGTACCTGTGCAGTGACTCTTCCTAGACTTGAACGGGTCCGTACTCCAATCTTTTCCAGTGTTGGAGCACATCCCCATTCAAATCTATAGGAAGTAATTACGCAGGAGTGGCCATCACCGAAGAGGGATTAGAACCTGAGCATGTAAGAAAGAAAGTAGCCCTCACAGAGAGGAATGTAAGCACCTGGATGGGGTGGGGAGTTTAGGTTAGATGAGCATAAGGGAATAGGGAGGGTATCCTGGGGGGATGGAATTTAAGTAAAAGTGTACTTTAATGGGTCCACGCTAAGCCAATTGTTGATAGATGCTGGAGGAATAAAGACCCACCTTTAATGGTAGTGGGAGGAATAATGCCCCGCCATCACTGGTATCAGTGAGGGAAATAGAGCCCCACTTTTGGTGTCAGTGGGAGGAAAAGCGCCCCATCGGTGATGTCAGTGGGAGGAAAAGCGCCCCATCGGTGATGTCAGTGGGAGGAAAAGTGCCCCATCGGTGATGTCAGTGAGAGGAAAAGCGCCCCATTGTTGATGTCAGTAGGAGGTATTGTGCCTTATCATTGGTGTCTGGGAGGTATAGTCCTCCATCATTGATGCCAGTGGGAGAAATAATGCCCCATCGTTATTGGTGTCAGTGAGAGGAATTATTTCTCATTGCCATTGGTATCAGTAGTAGGAATGTAGCCCTAACATTGGTGCTACTGAGGGGAATAATGCCCCATTGTTGATGTCATTGGGAGGTATTGTACCCTTCCAATGGTGTACGGGAGTAATTCTGCCCATTGTTGGTGCCAGTGGGAGAAATTATGCCCCATCATCATTGGTCAGTAGGAATATTAGTGCCCCATTGTGTCAATGGTAGTAATAGTGCCCCAAGGGTTGGATAAAGGCAAGCTAAGGGCCACATCCGCCCCACGGCGGGCCACTAGTTAAGATAAAGGTAATTTTCTAACATCCGTTACCGAGCTGGACCCAAATTTATGAAAATCTGAAGGATATTTTTTATTCTATCGGCTTCCGGTAGAATGTTTCACAGCAGCTTTTTCAATTTTGTACTTTATACGGTTTAAGTTTCCCCTCCAGGACAGCCAAATAACGTTTTGAGGATTTTAGCAAGATTTATTGCAGATATTTACCTGCCCCTGTACAATAGATAATGACAATTCTTATAAATAGAGCCGAGTGGAAGCACTGCAGTACAGGAAATGTCTTATCATTTAATGACTGCTGTGGAATTTCTCATCATATTTATATTCTAGTAAAAGCTTTAATGTGGGATCTGTTGCAGCAAGAAATGGGCCGAACTCTCATTTCCCCCAACAATCTTCCCCGCAAGTTCTTGTTGTACAGTCTGTTCCAGAAACATGAGATTGCTGGAAAAGAACATTCGGCACTTAAATGTAACTTTTCCTGCCGTATGAAAGGTAAACCTGCACTGAGAGACAGATGTAGGCTGCCATTGCTGACCCCTCCTTCAGATAATGCTAGTTGCCTGGTTGTCACTGGAACAGAACAAGTACGCACATCAGGGGTTCTCAGTATGTCTGTTCTGTGTCAATAGTTAGGAAGCTAGGGACAGCCAGGTAACTAGCATTTTCAGAAAGAAGTCAACATTTGTAGCCTTCGTATTTCTCTCAGTACAATTTGAACTCCAGACAGGTAGCTAAAGACACATGAAATATGCATGAAGGAGCAGTTTTACCTGCCAAAGGATTTGTGTTTGAGGGAGGAAAAACTTTACCTAACAGCAGCAGAGGAAAATCAGGTCTCCTGCTCTGCCTGACCAGGCTATAGTGTGTAATTTCTTGAATTCGGTGGACAGAAATCTAAATCTTTTTGCAGGTAGAACTACTCCCTTATTTGTATTTCCGCTGTGTATTTGGCTGTTTGCCTGGAGTTTGGCTGGAAATGGTTAATAACCTAAACATGATAAAATGGCTTATGTAGCTGGCGAATGTTAAAGAGCGTCACAGCTTAACCTTGTGTGTAATATACAGAGCTTGTGGCATACAGCAGAGGAGGGGTAAATAGAATCCTCAGGGCAACCCCCCCACATTTCCTACCACCGCCGAGCATTGGCCTGCTGCATGCTGGGAGCTGTAGTCCCAGAAGGCAATGTCAGCAGTTACCGGGGCCTTTTTTTGACCGCTGCGACCCTGTTAGTTCTGCCAGTGGCATACAGACATTAGCCCTCATTCAACATGTACACAGGTAATCTACTTATGATCAGAAACTTTAAAGGGAACAGCTATGGCATCTCATCATATCACTTCTTTTCTTTTTTTACAATATTGTCATAACTGATGTATGAAGTGCTTTTAAACTGACTTTTGCTATGCTGACCGGTAAAGAGCACCTGTAATTTAGGAGTCAACACATACCTCCCAACTTCCTGAGATGAGATAGAGGGGCATCTTTAAGCGGAAAGTATGTAGACAAGGGACACGCCCCCTGCCCCACCCCCATTTATAATTGGCATGATGGGTTAATATGTAAAAAATATTGTTTAAACCTACAAGCACATTTCACCATTTCTTTTCCTTAATACTGTTTTTTTTTTTCAAAATAACAAATGGAATAATCCAGAGATTGGATGACTGGAAGGATGGTTGAGCGTACTATAAGGCTTTTGGTTGTTATATAGTGAATTTTATATAGAAGTCTGTATATAAGACCAAAAACTGACGAAAAGGTGATCTATTTTATAAACAGCCTGAAAAGACTATGGGGTCTATTCACAAAGCTGCCGAGGGCAGCCGAGTGAATGACCGATCAGAAGTGAAGTGAGCCGATAATAGCCCGTACAGCACCCCCTCGGTTCTCCTGAACCGAAGGGGTCCTGGGGCCGAATCTAGCCGAAGGATCGGCCGAAGCTACGGCCAGATCCTTCGGCAGCTTTGTGAATAGACCCCTATATATTCCCTTTAATCAGTAGTGGGGCCGAGCTTTTTCTACATGAAAGGCCGGGTGTGAAGCACACATAGATGCCAACATTCTTGGAAGGATTTAGGGGGTTTTCCCAAGACAGGAAAAAAATGGGCTGTGCACTCGACTGGCCACATCAGCTTGAATGCAGCAGCCCTGCCCAATGTGACAGTCTATGAGAAATGGGGGGACAATTTGCAAAATGGGGGTAACGTCCTGCAGAAAAAAGGATAGTTGGCAACTCTGGATCCAAATGATAGGAGAACCTGAAAGCAGACACCCATAGGTGTAACAGTTGGCCACTATGGATCCAAGTGATAGAAGAACCTGAAAGCAGACACCCATAGGTGTAACAGTTGGCCACTATGGATGCAAGTGATAGGAGAACCTGAAAGCAACCCACATACTTTATGTTAACATCCAGAATATTTTACCTAAGTTACCTAAGTAATTGCTTTGGCATTACCTTT